GCAGTGTTTTATAGCTACTGTAGTAGATAACACTAAGAATACAGAAATGGAGGTGATATATGATGAAACTGCAACAGTGAGGTTATCGAAGCAATGAAATTGGTACAGTACTTTTATATAATTTAGAATGTTAACAGGGATTTTAAAATATTTGTATTGTCCTTTGGCAGAGCAATCCTATGTGTGAAAAGGACAGGAAAAAGAAAAACAGAAAAAATTGAAGTGTTTGTAGAATGTTATTTAAAATAGAGAACTATCTGGATGAGCATAAGAGTTTAAAACTGGGGGCAGTGAAACAAATTATAGTTCATTAATTCAATGGATGAATACAGAGTAAAAGTGGTAACTCGAAGATTGTAACAACATGGAATAGATATTTGATACATAAAAATAATCAAGCTATGGGCTTCCCTGGTGGCGCAGTGGTTGGGAGTCTGCCTGCCGATGCAGGGGACACGGGCTCGTGCCCTGGTCCGGGAGGATCCCACATGCCGTGGAGCGGCTGGGCCCGTGAGCCACGGCCGCTGAGTCTGCGTGTCCGGAGCCTGTGCTCCGCAATGGGAGAGGCCACAACAGTGAGAGGCCCGAGTACCGCAAAAAAAAAAAAAAAAAAAAAAAATCAAGCTACAAATTTGCAACTACAATTTGATTTTGAATATTCCTATGAGAAAAAGCCAAACAGAAATTAGAAAATTGAGAAAGTTAGAAAGTTGACTTATTGTCAGGGAATTATGGATGCTTCTCCATTGTTATTATATATTGGGTAAGTTTTTCAAAATGCATAATATATCCATGCATAAATATACATATACAAAAATTTAATAATAACTATATATATATTATTTAATTTGTTTTTATTTATTTATTTATTTTTGGCTGTGTTGGGTCTTCATTGCTGTGCACAGTCTAGTTGCGGTGGGCGGGGGCTACTCTTCGTTGCGGTGCATGGGCTTCTCATTGCGGTGGCTTCTCTTGTTGTAGAGTGCAGGCTCTAGGTGCGCGGGCTTCAGTAGTTGTGGCACGTGGGCTCAGTAGTTGTGGCTCATGGGCTCTAGAGCGCAGGCTGAGTAGTTGTGGCACACTGGCTTAGTTGCTCCACGGCATGTGGGATCTTCCTGGACCAGGGCTTGAACCCATGTCCCCGGCATTGGCAGGCGGATTCTTAACCACTGTGCCACCCGGGAAGCCCTAGATAACTATATATTTTAAGGAGTTTCCTTCTGTAATTCTGGAGTTTGAGGAATTAGAAGAGTGAGACATTCCTCACAATGGTTAGGGTTACAGGCTTTTGAGTCAGATAGACCTGGATTCAAATTCTGCACCTCTGTTCATTAGCTGCATGACCTTAAGCTTCAGTCTCCTCATCCATGAGAAGGGGATGATACCTGAGCTTTGGTGTGAGGATTATTTAGATCAGAACAACACTACCTTTCTTTCTTTCTTTCTTTTTTTTTTTTTTTTGCGGTACGCGGGCCTCTCACTGTTGTGGTCCCTTCCGTTGCAGAGCACAGACTCCGGATGCGCAGGCTCAGCGGCCATGGCTCACGGGCCCAGCCGCTCTGCGGCATGTGGGACCCTCCCGGACCGGGGCACGAACCCGCATCTCCTGCATCGGCAGGCGGACTCTCAACCACTGCGCCACCAGGGAAGCCCATCACTACCTTTCAATAAATGATGATCATCAAGGAAGAATGACTTCATCCTCAAAAGGACAGTCCACTGAGACCCTTACTTTGAGACAGTGTGACTTCCTTTGACAGAAAGTCAGAATCATTTTAAAGGGAGATGCACAATATTTATTATATTATACATCTTAAAGTTACCCAGTATAGAGAAAGAAAAAAAATTTCTTTTCTTCTACACTTCTGGGTCCTCAGCTTGGGTCTCTGTCAACAAAAAACAGAAAAATGAACAGAAGTTTAATAATATGTATATCTCAAATGCACGGGAGAAACTCAGGGATGAGTAACTCAAAGGGGTGGCTAGAACTTGGGTGTATATAGCATTTTAACAAAGAAAAAATAAATTTGTATAGAAATGACGGGACAAAGGAAAGCGTTTTAAGGCTTCCAAGGGCGGGAAACTGTGGGAATGTAATATATTGGGGGAAACTAACAGTGAGGTTTGTTTGGTGTCATCTCTGGGCTAACAGTCTAGAACCTTCTCCAGCAAAGGCAATTTATATTTTGTCTTTAGGCAGAAAGGAGGAGGGTAGAGAGAGCTTTTCCTGTTTTCGCTGCTCCTAATTGCCTTCGGCTCAAAACAGTATGTCAAAGAGGCATATCTGGGGGTGACATAATATGGTTTCCTTCACCAGTAAGGTTGTTTTTCAGGATTTTTGCATTTCTTACCATATAAACTTTACTGTTCCAAGCAGTGGGTGTCATAAGATCTACAGTATTGGGACTTCCCTGGTGGTTCAGTGGCTAAGGTTCCTGGCTCCCAATAAGCCTGGGCTCAATCCCTGGTCAGGGAACTAGATCCCACGTGCCACAACTAAGAGTTTGCATGCCATCACTAAAGACTAAGACTCGGCGCAGCCAAATAAATATTTAAAAGAAAAAACAAAGGGGCTTCCCTTGTGGCACAGTGGTTAAGAATCCCCCTGCCAATGCAGGGGACACGGGTTCGAGCCCTGGTCCGGGAAGATCCCACATGCCGTGGAGCAACTAAGCCCGTGCACCACAACTACTGAACCTGCTCTCTAGAGCCCACGAGCCATAAGTACTGAGCCCGTGTGCCACAAGTACTGAAGCCCGCGTGCCTAGAGCCTGTGCTCCACAACAAGAGAAGCCACCGCAATGAGAAGCCTGCGCACAGCAATAAAGAGTAGCCCCTGCTGGCCACAACTAGAGAAAAACCTGCCTGCAGCAACAAAGACCCAACGCAGACAAAAATAAAATAAATAAAATAAAGTATCCCTTGCTTAAAAAAAAAAAAAAAAAAGATCTACGGTATCAGAAGCTTTTTGAAAGGAAAGCAGCGCTGTGCTCCTTAGGGCTGCTGGACACCATATGTATGTGTATGCAGTTAGTTACACTTATATACCTATATTAAATATATATATACACGTATCCATACTTATTTTATTCTTTCTGCCTTTATAGTCAGACAACTCCTGTATGTGTTAAAAGTGATTAGCCAGTTGGATTAAGGGACTTACATAAGCAACAGAAAGATAAAATGATCAGGTGAATTCCATTTGATGTCATAATTCCTCTGCCTCAGGGAGGGTTTTTAAAATCAGATCAGTTGTAGAGTAGGAAAGGGGAAGCAGGAGGGGACAGGGAAAAGCAAGCAAGACCAGGGAAGTTGGTGGGTTTTCAGAATGCAGAAACCTAAGTAGAGACCTACAGTGGATAACTAAGGATGGCAACTTTTGTGATTTTTTTTTAAAAGCTTAATTAAAAGCTTCTGCGTTATTGGATATGGTGGTCACTTCCCCACAGGCTCAGTGATTTCCTGAAATACAAGTCTGTCCATGTTCCTGTTTCCTCACTACCAAAACCAAAACCAAACAAATAAGGTTCTTTTTTTTTGTACATTTTTAGTCTTTTTAAAAAATTTTTATTTTATTTATCTTTTTATACAGCAGGTTCTTATTAGTTATCCATTTTATACATATTAGTGTACATATGTTAATCCCAGTCTCCCAGTTCATCCCACCACCACCACCACACACCCGCCACTTTCCCCCCTTGGTGTCCATACGTTCAAACAAATAAGATTCTTAGCAGGGCTCAGGTGATGTGGCCTCTTTGCCCACCTCTCCATTCCCTGCCTTACACTAGCGTGTTTTTTTTTTTTTTTTTAATGGTTTATTTATTCGGTTCGGCCACCGGCCATGTGGGATCCTCCCGGGCCAGGGATGAAACCCATGCCCCGTGCAGTGGAAGCCTGGAGTCCTAACCACTGGACTGCCATGGAAGTCCCCTAGGGTACTTCTCTAGGTCCAGAAAAACAGGCAATTCACTGTCTGTGCGTTTTCTCCTGCTGTTTCCTTGGACTGGAATGGTAGTCTCACCTTTCTTTGCCTGAAGAGCAATGATTTACTTTAAAAACCTCTACTATCTGTCAGGAACACGTACCTGGCTCTTCATGCGAGCACTGGCCCCAGCCTCTCAGCTCTATTTTTTTTTAACCTATTTATTTAATATTCCATACAATGTATTTTATTTTGACATGTCAGTCTCCTAGACCCCATGTAACTATTTAATCTTTGTGTCCTGTCCTCCAGCAGGAGGACGGGACACTCAAGAAATGTTAAGGTGGCTAAAACAAACCCACGTTTGGTTACCAATGACCAGTGACCTCACATACCTTGGGCTCAGAATCCCTAAACTGTATCTCAAAATCACTGTGCCGGCCAGCGCCTTCAGAACACGAATCCCTTTCACAGGGTTTGAAATGTATCAAGTCCCCATTACTCACCTTAGGTCATGGCTCCAAGCCTGGGCTAACCCTGATCCGTGAGAGAAACAGAAACCTAACTTCTAGGAAAGAAGAGTCCGCTGTGCGGGGTGGAGGGGGGATTGGGGCGGGGCAGGGGGGAAGCAGCACTGTGGGCAGCACCGGGGCCGTCCAGGCTCGGCCAGAGGTCACACCCGCCTATACACTCCCTCGGTTTTCAGGTGGACACCATCCACGTGGGTGCCGCATCCGTGCCCCGTGTCCTGGCGAACGTCACCGAACACTTCTGCCGGGACCCCGGCAGCCGGGGCAGCAGCAGCCGTCGCAGTGCGGCGGGATGGGGTGGATGTCACCACGCGCGGGCGGCGGGACCACGGAGAGGAAGCCGTCGGGGTTCGAGGCCCGGCACCCCGGAAACCCCGAGGGAAAGAGGGGCCGGGAGGCGTTGATCCGTTTCCCCGGAGTTGCGCAAGGGCAAGGGCGGCGTGGCGGGCTGGGACCGTCTGGGCGGGCATTCCCGCCGCTGCCCCCGCCCGGAGGCCGAACCAAAAGCGAAAGGAGCCGGTCCCCCGCCTCCGGCCCCCGCCCCGCTGTCCCGCAGCCCCGGCGTCGCGTTCGCGGGGAGGTCGCCGCGCGCCTGCAAGTCGGCGGGGCCGCCGCTTTGTGACTTCACTCGTTTCGCAACAAGCCCGGGCCGCCCGCGCCCCACCCACCCCCGCGCCGCCGCCTCGCAGCCCGCCGCCTCTCTCCGCGCTTCCCCTACCTCCGGGGCCGGGCCTGCCCAGCCGTCGCGGAGCCTCCCGCCCGGCCGCCCGTGGCTGTTCGCGCCGTGGCCGCCGCGCCGCGGGTCGGCACGTGCGCGGCCCCAGCCTCCCAGCAGCGCAGAGCAGCCCCCCGTTCCGGGCCCGCAGAGCGCAGCGCCCTCCTGGTGGCGGCGCGATGCTGTGCTTCCTGAGGGGAATGGCCCTCATCCCCTTCCTCCTGGTGACCTGGTCGTCCGCCGCCTTCATCATCTCCTACGTGGTCGCCGTGCTCTCCGGGCACGTCAACCCCTTCCTCCCCTACATCAGGTGAGGAGCCGGGTGGGAGGCAGGACGCGGGACGGGGCAGAGGCACCGCGGGGGAGCATTGCTGATGCGGAGGGAAGGGGTCCAGACCCAGCTGGGGCGTCTTGCAGAAAGATGGAGCACTGACGACCAGGAGGGGGCGCTCCTGGGAGGTACAGGGAGGCAGAGGGTAGGAGCCGAGCAGTTCTTATTTTACCCCGAACACTGAGCCGAGTGGCGTCAGGAGCCATCGAGGATGCACAGGAGAACTTTGAGACTGGGTATGGGACAGAATCTCTGAAAGACGCTTTGGCGTTATTGAAACAAGGATGGATCCTGTTGGATGCCACTCATTGAATGTGTAAGAGGCAGATCCAGGTGTACGCTAGAACAGCTCACGTATTTCACTCCTGCTTCCCAACGTCCTCGTGAAGTGGCTGTCTGGCTCATTTTTCTTGCAAGGAAACTAAGTTTAACCTATGTTGAAATTCATCAGTGTGACACTGATGTCACAGCTAAGAAATGGTGGAAGCAGAACTCACACCCAGATTCATTCCCATGCTAGAAGGAACACCATGCTACCTTTGGTAGTGGTGTTTGGAAGATGCTTTAAGCTCTCTTGGATGGAGCTGCCCAAGATCCCTCTGGGTACTGGGCCTTCAAATTGTCAACAGTTGGTGACATCTCTTGTGTTGTCATTATACCATTTCGTCTTTCATGAGTTTTGGCCTCTACCTTTCTTTAATTTTTTTAAAATAAATTTATTTATTTATGGCTGCATTGGGTCTTCGTGGCTGCGCATGGGCTTTCTCTAGTCGTGGCGAGTGGAGGCTCTTCTTTGTTGTGGTGTGCGGGCTCAGTAGTTGTGGCTCGCAAGATCTAGAGCGCAGTCTCGGTAGTTGTGGCGCACAGGCTTAGTTGCTCTATGGCATGTGGGATCTTCCCGAACCAGGGCTCGAACCCGTGTCTCCTGAATTGGCAGGGGGATTCTTAACCACTGCGCCACCAGGGACGTCTGGCCTCTACCCCTTCTTGAGAGTCACTTTATCAGTGCCCAGGACATGCTTCTGGATCCTCTTCGTGTGGCTCCCAGCTCTGCGCCTTGACTGTGGTAATGGCGTTCCTTAAACATTTGAAGAATCCATCTTTATCCAAGTGGTGTGACCGCTCTGGGTCTGTATTGATTGGTGAGGGCATTATAAAGTTGGTGACACCCAAGGTTACTGCTTAATTATTGTAGGGATTGTAGAGATTATAGAGGTTGTAGGGCCTCTTCTTTTTGCAGCCATTCTGCCTGGTGAGCAATGCTCTATAATCTTTTCTGTAGGCGAGAAAGGGGAAACGAAGTGAAGCGAGAGGGGACTACAGTTTAAAGATGCAAGGAAGCAAGCGATATGCAGAATAGTGCACAGAACCAAATCTGTAGTAATGGCGGTGGTTTTGCCCACGCAAGATGAGGCGTCCCATGCATCGAGGAAACTTTCCCATCAGGCGTGGTGCCCCTGCAGAAACCTCGGCTTGGTTTCTCATGGCTCGTCTCTGTCCCAAGTGCCATTGTCTTGCTCCTCTTGTATCTGAAGTGGGATAGATCCTCTTAGACTGATGTTAAAAGCAAGAGTTCACTCCCGGTAATGCTTTTTATTGAGTAAATAGCAGCTGTGTTTGTTGCCAGTTTGAAGGTCAGGGGCAGGTAGTATTTGGTACACATTGGCTAGGCGATCAGAGGCAGGGTTTGAGTCTTTGTAGAGGTGTCTGATGTAGTTGTGATTAATACCACCTCCAGGTGAGCTACTAGACATTCAGAAATGGGGAAATGAGCTGACAGGACCAACTACTTGTAAGATGCTCAAATCACAGACATTCCAAGGAAGAGGTTTTTAAATTAGCAAGGAAAGGAAACTTTCAGGAAAAAGTGGAATAACAGGAGAAAAAGGCACGAGATTGTTCCCTTGCTGCCGGGAGCCTTCAGCCTACAAACACATGATTGCTTGCCTAAGTGTGCCTGGGGCCTTTAGGTTGTCTGCTCTGTCTGCCTACATGGGTGGCTGGAGCACTGGATTGCCTCTGCCGCCTCCTAGAAAACTAAGTCATTGAGGCCAGGGCAAGGGCAAGATTAGAAGGGAAAGTTTCTGGACGTGATGGGATTAACTCCAGATTTATCCATTTGGCCCAGACCATACTTCTCTAACTCATCTGTGCTCTGATGCCTCCTCTTCTTCCTTACCCGCCCCCCCCCCCACCCCCCGCCAACTTCCCTCCAGACTCCTTGGCCTCCTTCCTGGGTCTTGAGCATGTCAGGCACACCTCTTCCTCCTGGCCTCTGCACTGGCTATTACTCTGCCAGAATGTTCTTCCTTACCTCCTTCTTTGTTCAATTATCTCTGTGAGGCCTGCTCTGATGGCCCTATTTAACACTGCACCCTGACACCCCCATCCAGTCTTGTTCTCCATAGCACCTATTACCTTCTGACAAACTGTATGATTTACTTATTTAGTACGCTGATCATCTGTCCTCCTTTGCTGGAATGTAACATCCACGAAGGCTCTCGATATTTGTTGAATTAATATGTCTTGGGTGCTCAACTGTGAGTATTGTTATTCTTCCCTCCAGGGCAGGGCAGAGCCCTTTAGGGAAGGCTCAGTAAAGTCACTGGTGGTTGGTCAGTGATCTGGACATATTTAGGGTGAGCACCCTTTAACGCGAAGGCATTGTTCAGCCAATCTGATGTTCTGATGTTTTTTAACAACGCTGAACACTTTAAGTAAGAGCCATTGCATTTTACAATTTTGTTTATTTATTTATCTTCCAGTTTTATTGAGCTATAATTGACATACAGCACTGTATACGTTAAAGGTGTACAGCATCACGAATTGACTTACACACGTCATGAAATGATCATCACTATAAGTTTAGTGACTACCCATCATCTCATATAGATACAAAATAAATGTAGGGCTTCCCTGGCGGCGCAGTGGTTGAGGGTCCGCCTGCCGATGCAGGGGACATGGGTTCGTGCCCCGGTCCGGGAAGATCCCACATGCCGCGGAGCGGCTGGGCCTGTGAGCCATGGCCGCTGAGCCTGCGCGTCCGGAGCCTGTGCTCCGCAACGGGAGAGGCCACAACAGCGAGAGGCCCGCGTACAGCAAAAAAAAATAATAATAATAAAATAAAATAACTAAATAAATGCAAAAGAACCTATTTTTTCCTTGTGATGAGAACTCTTAAGAATCACTGTCTTAACATACGGCAGTGTCCATTATGTTACTCGTGTTGTACGTGACATCCCTAGCACTTCCTTGTCTTGCAGCTGGAAGTTGGTACCTTTTGGATACCTTCATGTAACGTCCCCTCTCCCCACCCCCACCTCTGGTAACCACAAATCTGATCTTTTTCTGTTTGTTCTGGAAGTATAATTGACCTACAACACTTTGTTAGTTCCTGGTATACAACATAGTGATTCGGTATCTTTGTACACTAAAAAATGATCACCACTAGCCTTTGCATTTTAAATAAGATCCAGAACTGTGGAAGAACCCCTTTGCAGTAGGACAATCAAATTCAGCTTTCTTATCAGATATTTTCTGATAACATTGTTATTCCTCAGTATTTTGGACAAGTGGGCCTATAGCTCTTAGACACATGAAAATATGCTCAATCTCATGAATGGAATAAAAATTCAAATTAAAACTCACTTTTGGGAATTCCCTGGTGGTCCAGTGGTTAGGACTCCAGGCGCTCACTGCCGAGGGCCTGGGTTCGATCCCTGGTTGGGGAACCAAAATCCCATAAGCTGCGCAGCCCGGCTGAAAACAAAACAAAACAAAACAAAAAACCTCACTTTTCATCTACTGGATTGGCAGAAACCCAAATGTTTGATAGCACATTCTATTGGTGAGACTTTGGGGCAACAGGCTCCCGTACACTGCTGGTGGGAATGTAAAGTGATTCAATCTCTATGGAGGGACTTGGGCATTATTTATCAAAATGACACAAATACAATATCTAAAGTATATTCATAGCACGGCTTTTAATAACAAAAGGTTGGAAACAATACAAATGTCCATCAGTAGAGGACTGGCTTAATAAATGATTTACCCAAGAATATCTCAAATGAAAGCTCTTTTTACATAGAATACTCTCTTTAGAATTTCATTACATTGTTACATGGAAAAAAGCAAGATGCAAACAAAATATACTACCATTGGGGAGGGGAATAATGTGTATCTGTATTTGCTTGCATGAAGAAACTAATAAAAATGGTTTATCTGTGTATGATGGAGGGAGGTGGCCATGGTCAGCAAGACCCTAGCTGATGGAAAAAAAGGGTGGAAATAAGACTTCTCCTGCCACACTTTAAAAAAATTAATCTTTTAATTTTAAGATAATTATAGATTTACATGCAGTTATAAAAAAATAATACAGAAAGATCCCATGTATTTTTTTACCTAGTTTCTCCCAAAGGTAACATCTTTAAACTTGGCATTAACTTTTTATATGAATTTATTTTTTAGGCAAATGGATGTTTCCTATCAGAAAATTAAATTAGAAGCATGGGGATTCAAACAGCCACCAAATTTAGCAAGTTGGAATAACATAGTGTGATGTTTCTGTATTATGAAACCATTAATGCAAGGATGTGAAAACCAAGGACAAATAAAAATCAACCTCAAAGCATTAGTTTAGATTTTTACAGGGCCACGCTCATATTCTTTTTTTTTTTTTTTTTTTTTTTTTTTTTTTTTTTGGCTGCATTGGGTCTTCGTTGCTGTGCACAGGCTTTCTCTAGTTGTGGCGAGCAGAGACTACTCTTTGTTGCGGTGTGCAGGCTTCTCATTGCAGTGGCTTCTCTTGTTGTGGAGCATGGGCTCTAGGCGTGTGGGCTTCAGTAGTTGCAGCATGTGGACTCAGTAGTTGTGGCTTGTGGGCTCTAGAGCACAGGCTCAGTAGTTGTGGCTTGCATGCTCTAGAGCACAGGCTCAGCAGTTGTGGCCCACGGGCTTAGTTGTTCCGCTGCATGTGGGAT